GTAAGTAGAGTGAATATTTTAATAATACACATGTGAAATGGGAACCCACTTTAAACAAACAAAAACCAACATATTAATTCTGATGTAAAAATCATTAATTTATATTTGCATTGTAATAGCCACTAAATTTTCACTCCATTAGCAATGATAAATGTTTCATTATATCCCACATTTTATCTAAACATTAAGATGAAAAAACATGGAAAAGTAATAATATAATAATAAGGTCACCATAGTATATGGCCTTAATCATGGGGGTATTATACACCCACAGTTGTATAGACTTGTTCCCAGTTCATTAGTAAATAGTATCTTTGTTATGTCAAAATTGCTTGGTTGTGTTTCTTTACATCTAATTATGAGGCTTAGAGATGGCAGGAGATGGGAGTTGTTTTTAGTCATGAGAGATTTCATTTTGTAAATACAATTCCATAAATATTTATATTGTGAAATTACGTTGATAGAGATAAATATTTCCAAACTGCATGACCAATGCAATATGACTGGAGATGTGCAGGCTCGATTGATATTCAGCCGCAATCTTTGTGATTTATGGCAAACTAATAAAAGCTAAGCAGCATAATGGTTAAAAACCAATGTGTATGTTCTACCTGGGATTGGCAATGAACAAGATGGATGGATGAAAACAATCAAATTGCCGCAATAATGCCAGTTAAATTACCACAATGAGACCCGTTTGAAGCCAACTAGGCGAAGACGCGACTAATGAGTATTACCAGAATCGCTGTCATAACAGCAGTTATGAGGGATGGTGTAATGGGGACAGCTATGATGGCTGCTGATTGTGTGAAATTACAGACCATTTTTAAAATCACCCATTGGAAATGGTTGAAGCTATTAATTTTAAGTAGTCCTAAAGTGAACCATTAGACAGATAAATTAAATTAGACCATACAAAATTATAGTATATCGTGAATGTTGTTGAATTGGCTACATATCAAATAATAAACACTAAATAAAAAATTAATACATATATTAAAACAAAGAGAATCCTAATTTTATTCTAAATTGCGATGATATATCATAATATTAATGTATCGTACTACTATGTTAAGGACCAATAAAAAAAATCATTAGTTTATCACCCTCCCGGGCATGTCTTCTACTGTATGGTACTGAAAAACAAGTATTTTTTGAAATTCTTTTTTTTTTTTTTTTTAATTATAATTTTTTTCATTTCTTTTATTAAATAGTAGATATTGTTTGTATTATCTCAATCATGCTTTACTTTGAATATCAGTGCACCAGCAAACAAACCAATGTTGATATTTGCCTTTAGCAAAATAACAAATAAAAAGAGCATCTCTCCCTCATCATTTTTCCAGTCTAGATAGGGTTAAACTAATAATATTTTTTTATCAGGCGTAATATATGTAAATTTCCTTTATACATTGTAACACCAAAATGTTAAGTAGTTCATTGATTGTGGTAATATTGGGTACTAGTATGTGACTGAACAAACACCTTTAGGCCTATGTGTGTCAGTTGAGGTTTAGAAAGATAATTAATGTCAGAATTAGTTTTGAAACTGTTATCAGTCCATATGGTTACCGTTCTTGGTTTTACTGTATCATTTATCAATGTATTACAGTACTTTTAATTCATAGATATTCTGACATCATACAATTTAATACTAGTACAAATGGTAAAACTGAATATGTATATGTGTATAAGTTTTTTTTTGTTTTTTTTCAAATATAAATATAATAATAATAATGGTGTGTGTTATAAAATAATCTTTGTTATCTTTTGATATAAACTTACACATTTAACATAAGTTTATAAATAAGAATAAGATTTGTATTTTAGAAAATAATTGTTATCAAAATGTGTACCTTATATAATAGTTTGTATCATAATTGTCTTATCAATATTGTAAAACAAAGCCTTCCTTGTTATATAATAATCATGGGTTAATAGTCTTAGACTATATTACAAATAATATTATGTATTTTTAAATAATATTGTAGGCCTATCTATTTGATGATATTATATAGTATGAATAATATTATATCTTATAAAGTAACATAGTGTAGGCATAATGTAAATGATTTTGTATTGTATTAAATATTTTAGTTTGTAAATATCACATAAATAATTACATGTTTTCGGTACACCTCATGGCATATGCTACAAATACAAATATTAATTGATGGTATCTTGGTTTTAAGCAGAACCATTTGGATTGTAATGTCTCAGTTTCAGTTGGTATACTATCAATAATATTTACACTAATGTTATTTATTGTAGATAATATTGTAGGCATATTTTATTTAATATGTTGTGTCTATTTTATGGATTAACTAACTAATTGCCTCTCACTTAATAAGAACAGTGTTGGATATACATAATTATATACTTGCACAACACACAACATTATTTAGTGTTAGTGGTATATTTGGTTAATATATAGTAAGAATAATGTTTAATTTAGTATAAATATTATTGTTATTATTATCTTATAAAGTAATGTTATGTTAGTAATGTATAAAAGATGATATTATTCTCAGTCTGAATATAAAATATATATTTTAATCTACCAATCAGTATATAAATACATTATTCATTTTTTCATATTATGATTACTTTAAATGTTTTTCTTTGTACCAATAAATCTTTTAAACAGAATATTCATAAAGATGAATTCTGTTAAAATGTATGCAATAGGATATGATAAAACACTGTTCATAATGCTGTTATGCATAGGTACAGTATATAACAAAGAAATGGTCAGTTTCAATCTAGTTTTGACCGGTAATCTAATCACTGTCCATCGATACACTGGTCACTTTAGATTGATCGAAATCGAATCAAATGTGTGCAGCGATTATTGCATTTGCTGCAACCTTTATGCTAAACATGACCCGAGGCTGTTTGACCGACAGTAGCAGAACCCTTGTCTCTCTTTTTTGTTTGTTTGTTGTGATATATTTGCTCACATGCCTCAGAGCAATGTTCAGATTCACAATTAC